AGGTGATCTAACGACTATTTTAATCGTAGTTTATGTATGAAATCTTAGGATTAATTGAGGTAATTTTAATTTTTTTCATTACATTCCAATTTAATTAATCTTTACATCGATTCTCAATAATAGAAGATATATGTTTAGATCTTTCTTAATCTAGTGACAATGTGCACCCCTTACAAACACAACGCTCAAACCTAAGATCTTTAGAAAGAACCTATCCTTTTACTAAAGTCATTTGATGAGTTCAAGGCTATTATAATTGAAAGATAAAAAACTATCTAATAAATAATTTTTAATATCAAATAATAATACAAAACAATTTAAATTTAAAATATCATTTAGTCTAATTTTTTTCATCCTTTTATTACCTTAATGACACATAAATTTCAAGATTTGGAAACAAAAAAAATTATGATATCATAAGGAAAATTCTACAAAATATTCTAAAAGACTTAACTTATAATTATAAATTAGTTAAAAATTTAAAGGTAAATTATTTAAAACAAAATATTAATTATATTATTTTCCATAAATTTTTGGGTAAACTACATTATTGATGACCTAACTATTTAGCAATTTTACTTTTACTACCTATCATTCAATTTTGTCAATCAGACAACCTAACTATTAATTATACTCCTAACTAGAGTATCGATACTTTTATACTGGGTATCGATACTATATCGAGTATCGAGTATCAATACCAATACTAATACTCTTATGAGAACCAATACCAAAATTGACTACTAGAATTTGAATTGCTATGCTAGTATCGATACTACGCTAAGAGTATCGATACTCATTGAACAATACCGATACCACATGAACATCTCCCAGCCCAAAATACCCTTTGTTTTAGGCTACACGAAAAACATTATCGGTACTATTCATTCAGTACTGAAACTCGAGCCTAAAAAAACTCTGTTTCCCATGAACATACAACTTCCAACCCAACCATTAGTTCGACTAAGGCCATTAAACATTATGTAAAGCTTATTAAAATTGTAGGGGATTATAATAGGTCATTTGACATCCTTTGTTTACCTTAAAACATCTAAAACCATAATCAAATGGAAATGTACATACATGCTCAATAAATCTAAGACAAGCAAGCAAACACATGTAAGGACCTACATATGATATAAAAGAGTCATAGACACGTTACCTTACTCTTAAGTTGAAATTTAACACCTTGAGCTCACCCAAGAACAAACTTCTCCTTTCCCTTTCCCTTTGAGCTCTGTCCCACTTCTTGCACTGATAAAAAAACAATAGATGAGTTACCCACTCATTTAGGAACTTGATAAGAAGTTAAAAAAATTCCTAGGACTAAATCTACCAAAAACAAACTAATTTCACAGGGGTTTTTCAAAACCTCTCTAAACCACTACTATTGTTTTCCATGGCCAAAACTAGAAGAAGAGCATTTTCGATGAAAGCTTAGAGTACGAGGATTTCAATTCCTACCTTGGGTTTTCTAGACAATGGATAAAACTCAACAAGTTCTCACCTTTGCTCAAGTTATGAAGAAGAACTACGGGGGAATTTGAATGGGAAGAAGAAGAAGACAAGCGTTGATGAAAAAAAGATATGAGGAAGTGATATGATCCCATTTAAAAGTTTCAAATCATATATGTTGTTGCACGATCATGATTCTAGTAAGAATTGAATTTCTTGATTTGAACGTGAAATTATGACTCGTAAGATATTAAAAATAGATAAAAATGTAATAGAAATGAAAGATTGATTGTAATGCCCCAAATATTGAATTAAGGACCTTATTAAAAGAATTTAAAATTTGGGTTCAGACTAAATTGTGACAATGGATTATTAAGAGGGCATTTTGGTCCTTTACAAGAAAATAAATTTAAAATTATTAGTTAGTAAGGTATTAAATTTAGGGGAAAAAGGGAAAGTAAACACCAAAAAGCTATTTCCTTTTCTTCTTCTTTCACGTGGGTAAAACATTCTTCTTCTTTTATGTGGGAGAAGCCTTCTCCATAGCTCCAAAGGTAAACTTCAATTAAATCAATTTTTCATTTTGATTGTGGGTTGTTTTTACAACCTTAAGTGATATAGAAACTTAAGGAATGACAAAATAAGATTTAAACTATGAAATGGAGGAAATATTGGATATTTTAGAAAATGGGTTTTGTAATGATATGTTAGTCTATTAGTGTTTATGAGTGTTTTATGGTAGATTTGACTTGTCATAGAGGTAAATGAGAGATTAGAAGCATTGAATTGGATTAAAAACACATTAGGAAAAGTGGTGTGATTCTTAGAACTTAACGTTCTTGGAATATGTTGGATGTTTTAAGAGACAAAATAAAGGAAAGTTAGTATGGTTAAGTAAAGAAGAGTTACCTAGTATTGTTAGGGGTAAATGTGAGGAAAATTTGCCAAATTTGGGTATGTATCGGGTTAAAAACTGGAAAATCTGGCCATGGGTATCTGTACTAATAGAATAATACCGATACTATAGGCTAAAATGAGACGAATTAATTAAGTAGTATCGATACTGATTGAATCAATATCGATACCGAAGGGGAAGTATCGATACCAAAGGGAAGGTATTGATACTATTTTGAAACAGAATGCAAAAAGGATATCGATACCATAGGAGGGTATCGATACCATAGTATGGTAGTATCGATACCATGGTAAGGGTATCGATACCCGGTAACATCAAATATAATATTGGTATCGATATCGGAAGGGGGTATCGATACCCGGTAACATCAAATAAAATATTGGTATCGATACCGGAAGGGGGTATCGATACCATAGTATAGTAGTATCGATACCATGGTAGGGCTATCGATACTGAAGAGCCAGAAATGATAAAACATGCTAATATTATTGTAGAAAGGTAAATAATAAGTACTTTTGATTAATGTTTAAGTTATAATTGTTAGGAAATATACTAACAATTGATATTATACATGTATTTAATGAATATGAGATAGATCAAAATCAAGCTCCCGAGTCGAGTAAGGCAAAAGGAAAGGGCCAAGTTCTGGAGTAATCATCTTTCTATTTTGGATATCTAAGCAAGGCGAGCCAGGTGAGTGCATTTAATTGTATAACTATATGTACTAATCATATGTATGTCTGTTTTAAAATATATGTGGTGATTACCAAATAGGCGCTAAGTGTGCATTTCACGGAATTCATCCTATGTGGATGAATAACCGCTTCGGCACTAAGTGTGCATTTTACGGAATTCATCCTATGTGGATGAATAACCGTTTCGGCACTAAGTGTGCATTTCACAGAATTCATCCTATGTGGATGAATAATAGTTTCGGTACTAAGTGCGCATTTCACGGAATTCATCCTATGTGGATGAATAACCATTTCGGCACTACGTGTGCATTTCACAGAATTAATCCTATGTCGATGAATAACCATTTTGACACTAAGTGTTCATTTCACGGAATTCATCCTATGTGGATGAATAACTGTTTTGGCACTAAGTGTCCAAAACACGAAATTCATAATACGTTTATGAATGACCGTATGGGCACTACGGGTGCATTACAATGAAATGATAATGAATGGAAATAACGAATTGGTATTTGATCAATAAAGAATAATGATATATATATTGATTGTATTGTTTGAATTATATTTTCCTCACTAAGTAATATTTAACGTGTGTTTATTTCATGCGTAGGTTGAATGCAAGCTGAGTAAGGAGATCATTGGACATTCAAGACAGAGTCGCCTCATCAGTAACCGTATGGCAAAACTGTATACTTTTGATCTATTTTAGTTGGCATGTAATAGGGTTTAGTAAAAATACTCTGAATAGTATTGGATTAAGCTGTTGTAAAATGGTGGGGGTGTTAGAACATCTCTTTTTGTTATTTTAGTTAAGTTAATGTATGTTTTATTTTAAGTGAATTAAGTGTTTTATAAAATGAAAGAAAATTTGACTGGTTTTTGAATGAGAATCAGAAATGATAGTGATGTGACATCTATACCTCGTGTACGGAAAGTATATGGGAGATGGGTGTTACATTTATTGGTATTAGAGCCACATGTTTAGTTGATTTTCGGCCGAATTAAGTGTAATTTTTTATGTAAAAAGAGATTACATGCCACTAAGATGTTAAGGTTACTGATAGGGTATAGAATGAATATGATAAGATGTCTCTCCTTACTAACTTAAGTATTATCTTTATGTATGTTGTAATAGATGTCGGATTCTACGAATTCGATAAGAGAGGCTGGACAAGAGAGTAAAGATAGATCGGATAGTGAAAGCTATTAATTAAATAACGAACATCTAATTCTATCTGAGAATGCCAGTGTATCGACACCTCAGGATGTGCCTATTCCGGAGTTTGGAGCTTTTATGCAAGCTCTCGATGTTATCTTGACCAGGTTCCAACCTTCTCCGCCTCCCCCTACTCCTCTAGTATCATGAATGCTAATTTTGAAGGAGTTAAGAAGTTTGGAAGCTCCGGAGTTCAGAGGAAGAAGGTGAAGGTCCTATGGATGCGGACTTATGGTTAAATGATGTGATGATGATGTTAGAAAGTATGCAATGCTCTGATCATGAAAAACTGGGTGGAGCTGTATCTTTACTCAGAGGATCGGCTCGGGTAAGGTGGACAAACACGATGATGTATACGTAGCCCGAGCAAGTGAACTAGCAGTTCTTTCAAGAGGAGTTCAAAAACAAGTATATCGGGGAGCAGTTCATGAGATCGATGTTGTTGAAGTTTCTTTGCTTGAAACAAGGTGATCGAGCAGTGCATGAGTATGAGGCCGAATACAATAAGCTCAGACATTATGCTACATAGGTTGTTCCTAATGATAAAGCTCGTTGAGATTGGTTCATTGAGGTTTTGAGGCCTAAGCTAAAAGAGATGATGTTGGCATTGAATTTGTCCAGTTTACAAGAAGTGATAAATAGAGCGAAGGCGATTGAAAGAGCTCAAGAGGAGACTCTAGCTGCAGAGCATAGTATGTAGACGTGAAAGAAGATTGGGATGTCTTCATCTACACATTATGCTATGAGAGGCAAGGGATCCGATTCCCGATATACTGATAAAACGGATATTGCGGTAGCGGCAGAGAAGTCTGAGCAGTCTCATTCTTTTGTTGCTAGCTTGGGTAGAGCTTTTGGAGAAAAAGGTAACCCATGTTAGACATATGGTAAATTTCACCTGGGAGTGTGTAGAGTGCTCTCTGGAGCTTTCTTTATTTGTGGAGGAACGAGTCATTATGCTAGGAGCTATCCACAGAGATCTGGGGAAAGATTAATATAACTTGAGAGATCAATAGCAACACCTAGTAGAAGCAGAGGAAGATCAGGCGGTCAATCTGAGGCTGGCCAAAGACAAGAGACTCGGGGAGTGGCCCGAGTTTATAATATAAAGACCAAAGATGATCGGGATGATCCAGAGATCATAACAGGTACATTTCACCTTTTTGATGAGCATGTTTTTATTCTAGTTGATCTTGGTTTTACGCACTCATATATTAGTACCAAGTTGGTTAGAACTAGAGTAATTCCTTTAGAACCAATTTTTAGTGAAATGATAGTGGTGAACCCTATGGGTCATAGTGCAAGAGTAGCATGGGTATGTAGAAAATGTCCAATTAAGATTCAAGGGGTTGTGTTTTTGGAAAAACTTGATGAAATTGACCTTTGATGAGTTTGAAATTGTTTTGGGCATGGATTGGTTATCTCCACACAATGGATGGGTAGATTGTCATCAGAAACGATTATTCCTAAAGGATACGGAAGCTCCAAAATTGTGGTGATAGGTGAGAAGGCAAAAATCCCTGTCCAATGTGATATCGGCTTTGACCGCAAAGAGAATGATGTCAAAAGGTTGCGTAGCTTTTCTAGCTAACGTAATATACACTAGAGTTTCAGAAGTGAGATTTCAGGATATTCCCATAGTTAGGGAGTTTCTAGAGGTTTTTCGTGAAGAGTTACCGGGTTTACCTCCGGACCGTGAAGTAGAATTTAGAATTGAGGTTTATCCGGGTACTGAACCTGTTTCTATGGCTCCGTATAGAATGGATTTAACGGAGTTAAGGGAATTAAAAGAACAATTACAAGAGCTTCTTGATAAAGGATTCATTCAACCCAGTGTTTCTCCTTGGGGAGTGCCTGTGCTATTTCTGAAAAAGAAGGACGGGTCTATGCAGTTATGTGTTGACTATCGTCAACTAAATAAGGTAACAATAAAGAACAAGTATCCTCTTCTGAGAATTGATGACCTGTTTGATCAGTTGAAAGGCGTCACAATGTTCTCTAAGATAGATATGAGGTCAGGGTACCATCAGTTAAAGATAAGAAAAGAGGATATTACCAAGACGCCTTTTTGGACTAGGTACGAGCACTATGAATTTGTAGTGATGCCGTTTGGATTAACAAATGCCCCTGCAACATTTATGGATTTAATAAATAGAGTGTTCCAACCATACTTAGATCAATTTGTAGTGGTGTTTATAGATGATATCTTGGTGTATTCCAAGTCAAGGGAGGAACATGATGCTCATCTTCGGGTGGTTCTTCGGATACTTCAAGAAAAGAAGTTGTACTTAAAATTATCTAAATGCGAGTTTTGGTTATCTCAAATTGTTTTCCTTGGTCACATAGTATCTGCAGAAGGCATAAGAGTGGATCCCAAAAAGATTCAAGCCATAATGGATTGGTAACCCCCAAGGAATGTCTCTGAGGTTCGGAGCTTCTTGGGGCTTGCTAGTTATTATAGGAGATTTGTGAAAAATTTTCAATGATAACTCTGCCGTTAACTAAGTTGTTATGGAAGGATGTGCCTTTTGTTTGGACAGATAGATGCCAAGACAGTTTTGAAATGCTGAAAGAATAGTAACTGAGGCTCCAGTGCTCGTGCAACCTGAGTAGGGTAAAGAATATGTTGTTTATGGTGATGCATCCCATAATGGGATGGGATGTGTGCTAATACAAGAAGGAAAAGTTGTAGCTTATGCCTCAAGACAATTGAAGAATCATGAGAGAAATTACTCGACACATGACTTAAAATTCTCCGCAGTTGTTTTTTGCTTTAAAAATCTGGTGCCATTGTCTGTACGGGGAGCGTTGCCATGTTTACATAGATCATAAAAGTCTAAAGTATTTGTTGACTCAGAAAGATATGAACTTAAGATAGAGAAGATGGATTGACCTCCTAAAATATCATGACTTGGTTATTGACTACCATCCGGGAAAGGCTAATGTGGTAGCAGACGCACTTAGTCAAAAAACTTTTGTAGCTTTAAGGGCTTTAGATGCATGTATGTCTTTAAAGGAAGATGGTGCTTTGTTTTCTGAATTAAAGTTAAGACCGATATTTTTAAATCAGGTTAAAGAGCTGCAAGGTAGAGATGAGAAATGCATAATGAGATTGGCGTAAGCCGGAAAAGAAGAGGCTAAAGATTTTGAAATATGGGATAATGAATGTTTATATTACCAAGGAAGACTCTACATTCCTAATGATGATGAATTGAGAAAAGATATTCTTGGTGAAGCAAATTATAGCTCTTTGACGATGCAATCAGGTGGAAATAAGATGTATCAGGATTTGAAAAGTCGTTACTGGTGGCCAGTCATGAAAAGACCTGTCACAGAGTTTGTTGCAAGATGTTTGACATGTCAGCAAGTGAAAGCTGAACATCAGGTGCCATCCGGGTTACTGCAGCCTATATATATTCCTGAGTGGAAGTGGGAGCGAGTTACAGTGGACTTTGTTTCGGTGCTACCGTTATCATCAGGTAAAAAGAACTCGATTGGGGTAATAGTAGATAAATTGACCAAGACCGCTCATTTTATCCCAGTTCGAGTAGATTACTCGATGGATAAACTTGAGGAGTTGTATATAAAAGAAATAGTTAGACTACACGGAGTACCGATATCGATAGTGTTCGATCAAGACCCAAAGTTTACTTCAAGGTTTTGGAAGTCCTTGTATGAGATATTGGGTACTCGATTGAACTTTAGTACAACATTTCATCTGCAGACAGATGACCAGTCAAAGCCAGCTATTCAGATACTGGAGGATACGCTTAGGCCATGTGTGAATGAATTTAAGGGATCATGGGAAAGGTATTTGCCTTTAGCAGAATTTGTATATAACAATATTTATCAATCAAGTATTAAGATGGCCCTGTATGAAGCTCTATATGAGAGAAAATACAGAACACCATTAAATTGGTTTGAATTGAAAGATCGGGATTTGGTTGGCCCAGATTTGATGAAAGATATGGAGGATAAAGTGAAGATTATCCAGGTCAAATTAAAGATAGCCTTAGATCGACATGATTCCTATGCATATTTTAAAAGAAAATAAATAGAATACCAAGAGGGAGACAAAGCATTTTTGAAAGTATCGCCTTGGAAGAAGGTATTACGTTTTGGGCAAAAAGAAGGTATTTCATTGGACCGTATGAAATATTAAAAAGGGTTGGACTCGTAGCTTATCATTTAGCTTTGCCTCCGGATATGGACAAGATCCAAAATATTTTCCACGTATCTATGCTTAGAAGGTACAAATCAGATCCATATCATGTTATCACTCCTGAAGAAATATAGATCCTACTAGATTTGACTTATGAGGAAGAACCAGTTCGAATTTTAGCTAAGGAAACCAAGAAATTGCGTAACAAGAGGATTCCATTGGTTAAAGTGCTTTGGCGGAATCATAAGGTTGAAGAGGCTACTTGGGAAAGAGAGGAGGATATGACAAAGCAGTTTCCACATCTCTTTGCTTCAGGTACTTCTTTAAATTCAAGGATGAATTTTATTAAGGGGAAGAATTATAATACCCCAAATATTGAATTAAAGACCTTATTAAAAGAATTTAAAATTTGGGTTTAGACTAAATTGTGACAATGGATTATTAAGAGGGCATTTTGGTCCTTTATAAGAAAATAAATTTAAAATTATTAGTTAGTAAGGTATTAAATTTAGGAGAAAAGGGGAAAGTAAACACCAAAACGTTATTCCTTTTCTTATTCTTTCACGTGGGTGAAGCCTTCTACATAGCTCCAAAGGTAAGCTTCAATTAAATCAATTTTTCCTTTTGATTATGGGTTGTTTTTACAACCTTAAGTGATATAGAAGCTTAAGGAAGGACAAAATGAGATTTAAACTATGAAATGGAGGAAATATTAGATATTTTAGGAAATGGGTTTTGTAATGATATGTTAGTATATTAGTGCTTATGTGTTTTATGGTATATTTGACTTGTCATAGAGGTAAATGAGAGATTAGAAGCATTGGATTGGATTAAAACACATTAGGAAAAATGGTGTGATTCTTAGAACTTAATGTTCTTGGAAGATGTTGGATGTTTTAAGAGAAAAAAATGAAGGAAATTAGTATGGTTAAGTAAAGAAGAGTTTCATAGTATTGTTAGGGGTAAATGTGAGGAAAATTGCCAAATTTGACTGAAAAATCTGGCCATGGGTATCGGTTATGATAGAACAGTACCGATACTATAGGCTAAAATGAGATGAATTAATTAAGTAGTGATTCAATCAGTATCGATACCGAAGGGGAAGTATTGATACCGAAGGGAAGGTATAGATACCATTTTGAAACAGAATGCAAAAATGGTATCGATACCATAGGAGGGTATCGATACCATAGTGTGGTAGTATCAATACTATGGTAAGGGTATCGATACTCGGTAACATCATATATAATATTGGTATTGATATCGGAAGGAGGTATCAGTACTATAGTATAGTAATATCGATACCATGGTAGCGATATCGATACTGAAGAGCCAGAAATGCTAAGATAGGCTGATATTGCTGTAGAAAGGTTAATAATAAGTACTTTTGATTAATGTTTAAGTTATAATTGTTAGGAAATATACTAAAAATTGATATTATACATGTATTTAATGAATATGGGATAGATCAAAATTAAGCTCCCGAGTCGAGTAAGACAAAAGGCAAGGGCCAAGTTCCGGAGTAATCATCTTTCCATTTTGGATATCTAAGCAAGGTGAGCCAGGTGAGTGCATTTAATTGTGTAACTATATGATGTACTAATCATATATATATGAATGTTTTAAAATGTATGTGGTGATTACCAAATAGGCACTAATTGTGCATTTCGTAGAATTTATCTTATGTTGACGAATAACCGTTTTGGCACTAAGTGTGCATTTCACGGAATTCATCCTATGTGGATGAATAACCGTTTTGACACTAAGTGTGCATTTCACGGAATTCATCCTATGTGGATGAATAACAGTTTCAACACTAAGTGTGCATTTCATGGAATTCATCCATGTGGATGAATAACCATTTCGACATTAAGTGTGTATTTCACAGAATTCATCCTATGTGGATGAATAACCATTTCGGCACTAAGTGTGCATTTTACGGAATTCATCCTATGTGGATGAATAACCGTTTCGACACTAAGTGTGCATTTCACGGAATTCATCCTATGTGGATGAATAACCGTTTCGACACTAAGTGTGCATTTCACGGAATTTATCCTATGTGGATGAATAACCATTTCGGCACTAAGTGTGTATTTAACGAAATTCATCCTATGTGGATGAATAACGTATGTGGATGAATAACCGTTTTGGCACTACGTGTGCATTTAACAGAATTAATCCTATATGGATGAATAACCATTTTGGCACTAAGTGTGCATTTCACGGAATTCATCCTATGTGGATGAATACCGTTTCGGCACTAGGTGTGCATTTCACGGAATTCATCCTCTGTGGATGAATAACCGTTTCGACACTAAGTGTACATTTCACGGAATTCATCCTATGTGGATGAATAACCATTTCGAAACTAAGTGTGAAAAACATGGAATTCATAATATGTTTATGAATGACCGTATGGGCACTACGGGTGCATTACAAAGAAATGATAATGAATGGAAATAACGAATTAGTATTCGATCAATAAAGAATAATGATATATATATTGGTTGCATTGTATGAATTATTTTTACCTCACTAAGTAATACTTAACGTGTGTTTATTTCACGTGTAGGTTGAATGCAAGCTGAGTAAGGAGATCATTGGACATCCAAGATAGAGTCGCCTCATCAGTAACCGTATGACATAACTGTATACTTTTGATCTATTTTAGTTGGCATGTAATAGGGTTTAGTAAAAATACTCTGAATAGTATTGGATTAAACTGTTGTAAAATGGTGGGGGTGTTAGAACATCTCTTTTTGTTATTTTAGTTAAGTTAATGTATGTTTTATTTTAAGTGATTTAAATGTTTTATAAAACAAAACAAAATTTGATGGGTTTTTGAGAATAAAAAATGATAGTGATGTGACATCTGTACCTCGTATATGAAAAATATACGGGAGATGGGTTTTACATTGTTGATGAAAATGATTTTTATGATTTGGTTAAGTACGGAAGATGATGGAAGTTGTAGTTTGGATGGATTGGATATATGGTGAACGTATGGGTTGATAATGGCATCGATGTGTAAGATGGATTGAAAAGAATATGGATTATAACCCTCTAGCTATATAGAGCTAAGAACCAACAACATAAATTGATGAAATCGAAGTGATAGTGGGTGGAACATGACACACATAGAAGAGCTACGAACCAAATCTATAAACAAATGGATGGATGAAGACCACACGACTAACTTGAGGCCAATAGAGTTCTTCAAAAGAACTAGAATGAAAGCAAACTCTCAAAGGTATTTTATATATGTAAAATGTGTGTTTTACAATGAACCTAAGGTGCCTATTTATAGTATTTCTAGGCTTAAATGTAAATAGCTTACAAAAGAGAATGAATGCTCATAATAATGTTGTTAAATGATCTTGAATGGCTTGTTTGTTTTCTTCTTCT